TATTGTTCCTTCTCCTCCATGTGACAAGGTTCTGGTCCCATATTGGTCGTGTTATCCTACGTAGAACTTTTCTCTCGAATCTCTCAATTCTGGCTTCTAATGTGCGGGTTAGAGCCCAGGTTTCACAACCGTACAACAGCAGAAATGGCTTGATTATGGCGGTGTACACCCTTATTTTTAGATTTCTGGAGATTTTTCTGGATTTCAGTACCCTTGAAAGAGAGAAAAAGATCTGTTCGCACTTGTTATTCGCTGGTCTATCTCTGTTAGTTGATCATTTATTGAGGTTATTGTAGAGCCGAGGTATTTGAATCTGTCTACTTTCGGGAATGACTTAGAGTCCACGCAGATCATTTTATTAGGGTGGATGTTTCGGCTAACTATCATGTATTTTGTTTTATCTACATTGACTTGTAGTCCGATTTGCTCTGCTTCTTTTAATAAAGTCCGAGTGAGCCTCTCAATATCCTCTTGATTACTTCCGAGGGTAGCTATATCATCGGCATTATATATATATATAATGTATTTATATATATATATATATATATGATAATAACAGTAATAATGATAGTATAGGTAGTAGGTCTTCTTGATAGCATGGAAAGAAAATAAATACGAACAATTTGGTGCAGAGCATGCTTCACTTAAGTTTCAATATAAATAGAAGAAAGTAAAAATTATTTCCAGTACAATATTAATATATCATACCATCATTAATTTGTATGACAAAAACAAACTTCTTCTTCTTGTTTCCGGTGTTCCAACGTGGGTGGGATACCTCTTCAGGTCAGAGCAGAGCTCCACACATCTCTATCCTCCCAGTCACCCTCCTGTAGACCTTGGCCGGCCATCTCTTCTCGGACTCCTTCCATCCACGTGGTTCTCGGTCGTCCTCGCCTACGCTTTCCGGATGGCTGCCAGTCCAGGACTCTGTTCGGCCAATGCTCTTCCGACATTCTCCTGCAGTGTTCATACCACCTCAATCGCCGTTTCCCGATCCTCTCAGAGACGGTCTCCTCTACACCTATTCTCAGTCTCACCACTTCATTTCGGACTCTGTCCAGCCTCGTTAACTGTAGACACCTTCTCCAGAAATCCATTTAAACAGTCCGAATTTTGGCATACAAGCTAGCATTCATCGACTATGCCTCACATCCGTAGGTTAATATGGGCTCGACAATAGCCGTGAAGATACACCGCTTGTTCGCGTTTGAAATAGTGTCGCTCCAGAGAACAGGATGCAGCATTCTAGTAGCTTTTCTTGCCATCTCTACATTGTTTCGGACATCCACTTCGGACGTTCCAACATCGTCCTGATAGGACCCGAGGTGTTTAAATGCCTTTACTTTTCTATATACCTGTTCACCTATGCGTAGGTCGTCTTCCTCATCTCCCAGTGCCATATACTCAGTCTTTTGGAAGTTAATCCTGAGACCTGCCTCTTCATAAGCTTTCTTTAACTGTACAACCACCATCTCCAGGAATACTTTCTTCCGGGCCATCACTACTTGATCGTCTGCGAAGAACAGGGTAAGGAGCACGTCGTCGTCAAAGTACACTCCGTAGTCTCGACTTCGTCACATCCATTGCTTCACTACCTCATCCAAGTATACCTTGAAAATGCTTGGAGACATACAACACCCCTGTTTCAGCCCTTTGGTTCCAGAAAATGGTTCCGAGAGGCGGTTCCCAATCTTCACTCTGTACAGATCGCTTCTATACAAGTGTTGAATTGCTTGTGCCGTGGATTCATTACTACCTGCTCTTCTCAGTGCTGGCCATATTCTTTCCCTAGGGACACTGTTATATGCCTGCTCCGGATCAATGAAGGCTAAATGAAGCTCCCTATTCTTTGCCCTGCATTTCTCAATGAGCTGTCGGAGTACAAAAATATTGTCCATACAGGATCTCCTGTTAGTGAAACCAGTTTGTTCCAACGCTGTAGTGTACTCTCCTTCCAGCTTATCCCGGACAAGTCTCCCGACAATCCTACTCACTGAGCTCTGTACACAGATGCCGCGATAATTCTGGCATTGCTTCCTATCTCCTTTTTTAAAGATGGAGCAGAGGTATCCTGTTCGGATATCATCAGGTAGATCACACCCTTTCAGAACCATGTTCGTCACATTGGTAAGGTGTGCAAGCATCTTATCTCCACCGGCCTTTAAAAGTTCCATATACAAGCCCCCAGGTCCTGGAGCTGTTCCGCTTTTAGCTCTGCCTATAGCAGCCCTCACTTCTTGTTCTGTTACTTGCATATGGTCCGGCTTGCAGTCTTCCTGTGCGTTGCCCTCTTGTGCCATAAACTTCGCTCTACTTTCGTTAAGGAGGGTCTTATAATGTTTTTTTCAGGTGTCCTCACAGATAGAAGAGATAACATTGCCCTTACGTGGTGCCCTCAAGCTCCTCAAAATATTCCAAGCTTCTCGCACTAGATTGAAGCCCAGTATCCCATCTACTTTCTGGCAGCATCTCTCCCAGGAGTTATTCATCTCCTTTACAACTTCCTCCTTTACACGCTTGTTTAGAGCTCTGTAGGTAATTTAGTCCTGGTCCCTGTTTGACGCTAGGTACTTCTTATATGCCTCTTTTTTGGCCTCCACCAAATCCGAGACCTCCTCAGACCACCAATCTGGTTGGTTTTTCTTTTCATCATACCCTAACGCCTCCGAGGCTGCAGTGTGGATGCACTCCCTCAAGTGTTCATATTTTTCCGAAAGATTGCTTCCCTGGCTCAGATCTATTTTGTCCTCTAGTCAGCTTTTGTATAACCTCCCAACACTGTCCTCCGTAAGGAGATATAGTTTGTACTTTGGTAAGGTGATACTCTCTGTTTTGCAGCGTCTCTCTTTTAGACCCCGTCCAGCTTTCCACGGGAAAGAAATCTTGGTCCGGAGCATAAAGTGATCAGTTCCACATTCCCAACCCCTGAACACCCTCACATCTTCCACTTTATAACTTGATTTTTGTCTGGTGATGCAATAATCCAGTATAGACGATTGGAATCCAGGCTTACTCCATGTGAATTGGTGTATGGGCTTGTGCTAAAAGAATGTGTTCTGAATCTGCAAATCGAACGCTTCGCAAACATCGATGAGCCTCTTTCCGTTGTCTGTAATCTGAGCCTCTCCATTCCTTCCGACAACTCTGCTTCCCACTTGGCGACCCACTCGTGCATTGAAATCCCCAAGAATGATGACTTCTTCGCTCCCATTTATCTTCTCCAGCACGAGCCTAAAACCCTCTTCGAATTCATCCTTCACTTGCGGGGGTTCACTATTGCCAGGACCGTAGATGCCTATGACTGCGACCTTTCTGCCAAAAATATCTATATCTACACGGATAATCCTTTCCGATATTTCCTCACAATATGTGATCTTTTCTTTGAGGTGTTTCTTTATCAGTACCGAAACACCTGCCTTGGCTCGCACATCTCTTCCTACACCACTCCAGATATGTACATATTCACCTGATACCTCTTGTCCCTTTCCTTTCAATTTGGTCTCTGTGAGTACGACCAGATCCAATCCTGCTCTCTCCACTTCTTTCCGCACCTGAGATTTTTTGTTGGCGAAGCTCTGAATATTCCAAGTACCAAAATGAAAAGTCCGTTTCCGTTTCCAAAGTCTGCTTCCGTTATGACTATCCAAATCCAAGGCTCTTTTCTGACTACTTGTAGCGAGAAGAGTTTTACGTTAATGAGCTGCTGACCCAAATGACAACCCCCAACCTGGAGGACCAGAGGTTTTCTGTCGGGGTCTCTTTCCCTTAGATAGGTTGGCTGCACAAGCTAACGTGCCTTATCCGTCCGGGTTTTTATTCGGAGTTGTCCCTCTCCTAGGTATCCCCGCTGTGATGGGGAAGTGGTTGTGCATATTTAGAGGCGGCACACACTCGCCTCGTTACAGTCTCCGTCTTAGGGCTCTCTGGAGTATTTTTGAGGATGGCCGCACCACTGACCACCCTTCCCCGCCCTGTTGGCGCCTGCCGCTCATGGTCCGGGAGTGCAAGTCCACTATCCGCCACCTGTGGCCCCGCCTGGTCCCCTGAGCACGGGGTCCCCCACATAAGGGCATGAAAAAAAAAAACTGTTTTGTAAAAATTGGTCATTTCTTATTAAATATTTCATATCTGTTTGTTTGTTTATTTGGGCTTTGAGGCATAAAACCCTAGGGTTATCAACACCTGCTTGCTCTTTATTTTTGTTCTCTGGGGAATTTCATATCTGTGGCACCTCTATAAAGTGTGTTAAGTGAAATTTTGTGAATTTGTATGGGCGTCACCAGATAGATAATTTTTCTTTCTTTCTTTGTGTCTAATGCACTAATCGTAGTTTTATCTATGTGAATCATGATATCATATTTCCATAAATATGATTTTGCACTAAACACATTATGCACAGATATATAAGTAAGTAAAAGTTAAAAATGTGCACCCATTACATGATAAAATTAAATTTAAAAAATACCTTCCTTGTTTTTTACTTGGCCCTTAAAGAACTGTCTCATTAAATATATTTTATTAGTAGGATTCAGGATGTAAACCATTTTTTCTCTTTTAATTTATTTATATAAACAAGAGTTCAGGTCTCCATAATATATAGAAAAAGTATGAATCTTAGCATATCTAAAATTTTTTCATATAAACAAATGAGACATAAATCAGTATTAGTTTCCTGTAGAATTCATCTGCTGCTGCATACTACAATCCATAGTTTAATAAAATTTATAAGGTTTCAGTTAACAGTATAGATTTCATTTAAAAATATATGTTTATTATATAGAATGTCATAATATTTATTAATTATATATAATATTTTAGTGAAATAAACATTAGGTACATAATGAAAACAGTAAGTATAAAAATCACAGTTATTAATGCATATTAAGAATGAACAATTTACATCATTATACTATCTACTTACTAAAAACTATGTTGCTTTAAATTTATCTTTAAAAAACTTTGTATTATCCTATTGTATTGTATGAAATTAAACATTTCTACTTAATGTCATTTAGTTTATGAATTCTTAACAGAAGTTTGTGAAGAGGAGAGGAAGTAATTACTTTAGGGTTCAGCTTTAGATTATCAGTACATTTATTCATAGGGCTTAATTCGAACCTGTATTTTTCTAATGACCTTGCCAACAAACTAGACATAACAGCTTCGGCAAATCGTTTACCTATATCAACAAAGGAATAAATTAACAAGAATAATTGTAAATTATTAAGTATATATACATTATATAAATTAAAAAGTTTAAATATTTACACTATATAAATTAAAAATTATATATATATATATATATATATATATATATATATATATATATATATATATATATATATATATATATTTTTTTTTTTTTTTTTTTTGTCTGCCCAAGAATTATTTTTAGGGGGTCATGAGGAGCTGAGGTTGATGGGGAGTAGAGATAATGTTGCCATGACCTGCAGCAGTTTTGGAATAAGCTACTGAGGGAAACTGGATTCTACATTATCACAAGGGATGATTTGGACTTTCAGCTATTAAACTAGGAAAACTAGGTGGTATGGATATACTAAGAAGTTTTTGTATCCTTGGATGGAAGGAATTATTGGTTGTTGATCATTTTTATCTCTTCCAATAAAAAGTAATAAAAAAAAAAATTGTGATGACTGAATAATTAAAATAATAAATGATAGAAGTGTCAACAAAAATGCATATTATCGAGAGCTTTTTTGTAATACGTAGAGTTGTGTACATTTATTATTCTAATTGGTTATATTTTGGGAAATTAATAGTTCTTGAGATGCTTTCGGATGTTCTATTTATTGTATAGTCCACAGCACATGTTATAATGTATAATTTTTCTGTACAAATTATCAATAGGAAATCAAATTTCGAACAATAAACTGAAGAATATTTTTGATCGACTAGATTGATCAATTTACTATGTATTGAGCACTGAGCAGAAAATTAAATTTTAATCAGAATTATTTGAAATTTTCAAAATTATCGAATGATTCGATTTCATTCAATATTACTAGTTCCGAAGATATATCAGAATATAGCTGCTAAAGAGGTACTTATAATTTTTTTGAATTTATTTATTTAGATATATAAAATTCTGTCTCGTGGACAATAATTATAGTGATAAATGAACACATCCAGACCATACATACAGAAAATATAAAATTAAAAAAAGTAAAATAATAACTAAATAATAATAAAAAAAAAACTATGTACAATGAAAAAATAAAATAAAGTAAAACTTATAATTAAAGGATAACTTATAATTAACAATTATTTTATAATTGTGATAAAAAATGAAATGAATGTTGGTTAATATTAATCTGTTAAAATTCAGAGCTGAACAAAAAATAAAATAAGTAAATTTTATTTTTTGTTTACCAATGCAAATTCTTGGTCCGTCTCCAAAAGGCAAGTAGGTTCCTCTGATTGGTGGATTTTCAAACCTATCAGGTTTAAATTCTAAAGGGTCTGGAAAATATTTGGGATCACGGTGTAACGACAAAGTTGGTATTAGGATGTTCATTCCTTTCTCAATGACGGTTCCATCAGGTAAGGTGTAATCCTTTATACATTCTCGGTTTAGGATAGCCAAAGATGGAAATATCCTTAATGTCTCTGGAAATTATCACAATGTATAAATTTTATAGAATTGTTGTCTTGTAACAAAAGCCTTAGGAATAATTCAAAAAACACAATGGACAATTACAAGATATTATCAAATTTTAAATAACACAACTTTCACTTACTCCTCTACTTTGAATAGAAATTATTTTCTGGCAATATTTCACTATTATAAAATTTTATAATTGCATTTTTAACTGAGCTAAAGCAAAAATATTACAGCTAACAAATCATTAACACCATTAAGATAACAAAAGTTTTATTTATTATATCATCGGTTGAAGTACATTTTAAACGGAGGAAATGCTTAAAGCTTACAGAAAACAAATCATCAGGACCATTAAAATTAGAAAAAGTATATTTATTATATCACTTGGTTGATTATGGATTGTACTATCCGTTGATTATGGGTCGCACGACCATTAGTTATTAAACCGTTATTTTGCATTGCAAAGTTTATTAAAATGGAATCAAAAGATTTACGTTGTCTGTAAAAGACAGGTCAAAAGTTGTCACACTAATTGTAAGTGGATACTGTTGGAATATCGCAAAGGGAAAGTTTATCAAATTATTCACTAATTTAATTTTCTAAAAGGTTACTTGATGATTTTTGGGAATAAATGGCCGATACATCCATAATTATCTAAATATAATATCATATCAAGAATTATTAAGGTATTGAAGGTTATAAACATATTCATGAAATATTTCAATTTTTCTTTCACACATGCACCATTAGAAAGTATTTTAAAAAATGGCATTGGCATGATTCCGTGGATTTAAAATACTTTTTTTTCTAACTTAGAAAAAAATTTAAAAGTTTACATTTATTTGGAAAATTTCATTTAATTTCATTGGAGGTGATCACTAGTGGATCCAGGATTTAATTTTTTTTGGGGGGGAGGGGGTTTTCAGCCCAAAAGATTTTTTTTCATATACATATAACGATAATTAATTTGAAAAAAATTAGAGAAATTAATTACCTATATGAAATGGTGTTTAAGTGGTTCTTGAAGTCCTATTAAATACACTGACAGGCAAAAAATTCCACCTACTTGATTTTTTCATGTTTTCATCTAAAAATATTTCTGCTTTGGATTGGTCTATTGTTTTTAATAAATAAATAGGTAATCTTTTTGTTTGTTTTCAATTAGGAATGTTAATATAGAGGACAATAACCCTTAATCCTTAATTCAATGAAATGATTATAGATTCCAATGTTTCCTAAATTCCTATGAAATCAAAATGTTTATTCAGTATCATTAGTTCAGTGCCGTTTCTTGCAGCACATTTTTTAGTCTCCGGCTTTTAATTTTTTCAATATTAAGTTTAAAAATGCCTCTTAGTGCTGAGGATGTTACTCGTGGTGTGGCACTTATTAGTGATGGACGTTCCATTAGGTATGCAGCTAATGCCATCGGAGTTCCATATGAAACTTTACGAGACGCCATCAGGAACTGGTTCTTACAATAGAAGGCCCGGTTCTGGACGGGCTAGGGTAACAGAATCACGGAATGACCGGTTTTTGAATTTGAGAATTTTACGAAACCGGCACCTTACCGTTGTTCAAGCGATTCATCAGCTCGAAGAAGTTCGAGGTGTGTAAATTTCTGAACGTACCGCTCGGAGAAAATTAAATGAGCATGGATTAATGGCTTTTCGTCCAGTAAGAGGACCAGAGTTGACCAGAACTCACAGAGTAACACGGCTGGCTTTTGCTCGAGAACACAGCCATTGGACTATGGACGAATGGAGTGCTGTACTTTTTACAGATGAGTCAAGATTCGCTCTTCGATCTCCAGACGGGCGTGAAAGGGTGTGGAGAAGAAGAAACGAAAGATATGCAGCCTGTAATTTATCCCAGAGCCAACCTTTCCACCGTGGTTCCTTAATGGTGTGGGCTGGGATTTCAATGGAGCGCCGCACAGAATTGGTTATTTGTTCGTGGAGGGTCTTTGGCGGCCATTCGCTATTTTGGATTTTGGAACCTCATGTGTTGCCTATCCTCAACGAAATCGGCGATCGTTCTACGCAAATGCACGCCCACATGTCGTCTGCATAGTGCAGACGTTCCTTCAACAGCACAATATTGAGGTTTTAGCCTGGCCAGCACGTTCTCCAGATTTGAACCCCATTGAGCATTTAAGGGATTACCTCGGAAGATGAATAAGAGCGCGTGCAACACTTCCTGATACACTGCAGGACCTTGAAAGGGCTCTTCGGGAGGAATGGGCTATCCTCCAGCAAAGGGACATTTCCCGACTGGTGGAAAGGATGCCGAGGCGTCGTCAAGAAGTAGTGAAGGCAAGATTAGGAAACGCGCTACTAAACGATGATGTAATTAATTTCTTTTAGAATAATAATGGTTCGTTTTTCAATTTTTTTTTTCTCTAATCTTTCTTACCCAATTACATTTTCATTATTAAAGGTAAAATAGATTATAAAATTCCATAAATACCAAGTATTATCTACAAATAATATAACTTTACAGAAATATTTTTAGATGAAAACATGAAAAAATCAAGTGGGTGGAATTTTTTGCCTGTCAGTGTATAATTACACGATCAAGAATACTTTAAGAGATAGTTTTTAATATTTTTTTTCTGTAAAACCTGGTTACATTTTACCATTTTGAGGGGGCTTCAGCCCGAAATCCCGTCCCGTAGATCCGCCTGTGGTGGTGATCCACCGTTGCACCTTTATTGTCTTTAATTTGCTAGGTGCGCTGTTGTCCCACCATCTTTGTCATTCTTGGGATATGGAATGGTTTCTCTTAGAGGTCGTGTAAGCTCAGATGGAGTCAAAAAAGCTTTACGCCAGCCTGGAAACAGGCCACGATTTTCCTATGCTTAGGGATATACTAAAAGGATAATTTTTCCTTTTAGCTGTCGGGAGCACTTTCTATAATAATTCCGTTGGTTTATAATTTTTATTTTGCTAGTTTTCGTTCACTTTTCCTCTTATAACTCGTAAAAGTATGTTTTTCACGACCCTAACAGTTTACGGGCTATGTAGATGTGGGCGACAATGCAGAATTAGGATAGAAACTTTTCCAAATTTTCATTCCCTTTTCTTGTTTTATCTCCTAAATGGATGCTCGGTTTTTCAACGTTCCAAGAATTTTATAATTGTTTAGAGGCAGGCCAATGGAAACAGGATTGCTACAAATTTTACGAATTTTTATTCGCTTTTCCTCTTTTATCTCGTGAACAAATGTTTGATTTTTCACCGTACCAACTATTTTCCGACTATGTAGATGTAGGCGAAAATGGGGAAATGGTGGAGACAATTTTTTGAATTTTCATTCGCTTTTTCTTGTTTAACTCGTGGAATAGATGCTCGGTTTTTCACCGTTCAAACACTTTTCTGACTATGTAGATTTAGGTGAAAATGGATAATTAGTGAACATTTTTTTCCAAATTTCCATTCGCTTTTCCTCTTATATCTCATGGATGGATGCTCAGTTTTTCACTGCTCAAAGAATTTTAAAATTGTTTAGAGGCAGTCCAATGGAAACAGGATTGGTACTAATTTTCCAAATTTTCAATCGCTTTTCTTCTTTTATCTAGTGAGTGAAAGCTTGTTTCTGCACTGTACCAACTGTTTTCCGACCATGTAGAGGTAGTGAAAATCGAGAAATGTTGTGAAAAAAATTTCGAATTTCATTTGCTTTTTATCGTGAATGAATGCTCGAGTTTTTCACCGTTCCTACAATTTTCCGACTGTGTAGATTTAGGCGAACATGGATAATTAGTGTAGACGATTTTTCTAATTTCCATTCACTTTCCCTCTTTTATCTCATGGATGGATGCTCGGTTTTTCATCGTATCAACTGTTTTTCGACTATGTTGATGTGGGCGAAAATGGGGAAATAATGTAGAAAATTTTTCGAATATTCATTCGCTTTTCCTCTTTTAACTCGTACATGGATGCTCGGTTCTTTACCGTTCCAACGCTTTTCCGACTATGTACATTTTTTCAGACTCTTTCCTTACTAATTTTCCAAATATACATTTGCTTTTCCTCTTTTATCTCGCGTATGAATGCTTGATATTTCAACTATGTATATGTAGGCGAAAATGGAAAATTGGCGTTGACAATTTTCCAAATTATTCGCAGTTTTCGTTGATCTACATACTCGGATAACTGTTAAAAAAGGATGCTTTATTCCCGAGATAAAATAGGAAAAAGAAAGAAAATTCGGAAATTGTTTTTACTATTTTTCTGTTTTCGTCTACATCTACACAGCCGGAAAGCTGTTGGAGCGGTCAAAAACTGATCCTTCATTTCTGAAATAAAAAAGGAAAAGCAAATGAAAATTTTTCCACTGGCCTGCCTCTAAACCGATAAAAAATGGATGGAACGGTGAAAATACGAGCGTTCATTCACGAAATAACTAGATAAGTATTGTTCGAGGAATTCTGATTCTATCTCTCAAACACTGATACTTAACAGTTAGTTAAATTTAAAAAAAAAAAAATTAGAAATATGAAAGATAGTTTCTGTAATAATAGTTATTTCTTTAAAATTGTCTAGAAACACAAATAAGCAAAAAAATTACCTGCAATGCAGTTATTCAGGAATTTTAACTCCTTTAAGGAATCAAATGTGAGTTGACCATATTTTGCTTTGACCTGTAACACCTCTTTTCTCGCCCTCTCTTGAAATCCCGGATGTTTTGCCAGGAGATAAAATGTGAAATATAATGTGGTTGAGGTAGTTTCAAAACCAGCCAAAAAAAATACAAATGACTGTGCAGCTAATAAACTATCTGTCAGTTCTAAACAAAAAATGTTATTAGAAGTGTATTTTCAAACGTATGTGATGTGTGATTATATAATTAACGAAAAAGTTCAAAAAATATGTATGTTAGTCTGGAATGAAGAAATAAAATAAAATAAATATACAAAAAAATAAAATAAAATAAAGTAAAATGTTACTTGTAAATTAACTGTTAATAAGCAATCGTAATTACAAAATCTGAATGTTCTAACTGGTTTAAATTTCTTTGGTTGAGGAAGATTAAATGTGAATTTGGTGGATGAAATAGGACTTGCTTATACGAATTTATAGACTAGGGAGAAAGCTATGGAATTCCAAATTGTAGTACAAATGATGAAGGATTTGCTGAAAGAAGTGGTTTTACGGGAGGGGATTCATCTAGAGATTGAGATCTGATATTAAGTGTGTGAGTAGAGTAAGTAGTTCAAGGATGTAGGGAGAATTTTTGGTTCTAAGCGCTTCAAAAAGAAAAAAACCAAGAAGGAATAGCTGTTGGGAAGTAGGATAGAGCACTTTAACCCGGTGTACCTGCAGGACAGATAAGAACGCCTAGGAATCAAAAGGATGAATCTAATAAAGCAATTCATGAGGCTCTTCAATCTCATCTCCATCCTTGTAGACAGCCATCTATATACCAAGCAATCGTTGCCGAAGTGGAGGAAAATAATAAAGATTACAAGTAACTGTCTGTTTTTTTAGAGATTGACTCATGTAATCTTTTGAGTTGTTTAAGGATAGTTATGGATTTTCAGATAATCTGGGATATATGGTTATTCCGGGAAAGGTTCTGGTCACAGGTTACCCCTAGATTTTTTACTGTCGGGAGGAAATTAATGGTGCGGTTATTAAGGTAATGTGGAGAGGAGTAAAGAAGGGATCTAATGAGATGTTTGGAACCGATGAGGGAAGCCATAGTTGTTTTCTGAATTCATTTATTTCTGCTCATCTTTGGATATAAGCGACATCCTCCTGTAGCTTTTGTGTTGCCTCAGGCATCTCTGAAGTATGGACCAATTTGGAACAATCGGAACAATCATCAGCATATGAGTGATAATGGGACTGATGAATGGAGTCAGTATGATCGCTAACAGCGTTTCCACCATATTCCTTTAAATATCCCTTTGGTCAGTCATATTTTCATTTTTTTTACCATCCAAATGAACTTAAAAACGCCTTCAGTACTAACATATACAAAATAATACATAATATTATATGTAACTACTCGTATTATGTCAGTTTTATTTATATTATATAAATAGTAGATTAAAATGTGCTCAGACATAGACTTTGATTGCTAAAAATTATTTCTCTTCCAACCTTGGAATTTTCCTAAAAAGAAACTTTTTCCACCTAAGTGGAATTCTTGGTCACTAATAAAAATAGAGAAAAAGGTTAGAGAGAGAGAGTGAGGAAATCAATTATTACAAATCTTTCATTTTTTCTGTGACCAGAAATGTAATTTTATAAACTAGATCATTTACTTTATTAATCATAGATTATTATAATTTTATAACTACACTTGACTACACTGAACCGCAAAATTTCCTAGTTTTAGTAAACATTTTCGTCCAAACTTTATTGTTTTTAAAAACTTCCTGGGTTAATAATTTTTTAGTCTATATTGAGTTGAGGTAGGGTTATAGATATAACATTTACATTTTAAAACATTCTATAAGTTAAGTTAATTTTTAAATGGAAATCAGCTTTATTTTAAGGTTTTAATGATCAATGGAACTTACCTATTTTCTCATTGGGAGAATCTTCATGCATTTCCTCTTTTTCTATTTCTGTACTATCTATATTAACTGTCCCTTTTTCTTTCAATTCAAGAAGTAATTGGACGAAATCTTTTCTTACTACTCCTGTACTTCTCCTAAGATGCAAAATGTTTTTTGTTGTAGTAAGGAAAAAATTATTTATTTTTGTTGATACTGTTTTAATTTTAAACAAAAGTAGTAAACGAGGTACAGACAATCTCAAAATCGCTATTAACATGTTTGTTTTGCCAGGAGCGAAAAAATCTCTTCCAACTTTTCGAAGTTCCGAGTTAGGGTTTTTTAAACATTGAGGTTCAACCCCGTATGCGCAGGAAGCTAAAAAAATAAATAAGTGTATAGAAGTTATGTTTCATTAATCTGTAATATTAAAAAAAATAGAAATATCATTATCATCATCATCATAATCCTTTCCCTCTCTACCGCTGCACAGTGTAGGGATGTCCTCTATAGAGCCTGACCCATGTGTCCCTCTCTTGTACCAACTCTCTCCTGCTCCAGTCCAGCCATCGCTTCCTGAATGCCTCCCGCACGCCTTCTTCCCAGGTGATCCGTGGCCTTCCTCTTGGTCTTCTACCGTCCAGTTTCGTCTCATACGTTATCCTGGCCGTTCTTTCGATGTTCATCCTTAGAAGGTGCCCGAACCATCTAAGTTTATTCTCTTCTAGAGTGTAGTAGACTTGTATAGTAGATTCTAGTAGTCGAGTAGACAAGTATAGTAGACTTGTGTTTATCTTACTACGGCTTGTCACTGACACAAACAATGCAAACATTTTGGAGGATCAACTGAACTCGAGGTGGGAAAAAATAGGATGAAAATATGAGGGAAGCTGAATTGAGTTTTTGATGTGCTTGAATGATTTGATTTTCAAAAATACATTCCTTTAAAATCCTAAAATTAAAAAATGTTTCAGGGGCACTGGTACTGTTACATGGCCAACTATTTAATTAAGAGCACCCACGTTTTAGAGGCTTGGGTGTACCTCACCAGGTACTGGGTCTAAGGAACCCAGGGTCGATCCACGGCTAATAAAAAATTACTATTCAACAGCCAGGATCGAACCTGGGACCTTGGGCTCTGGAACTCAGTGCTCACCAACTGTACCGCTCCTTCTAAAAGTAAAGAAATAAAAAATATATATACTAACACCACACTAACTGTAGAATAATCTAAGTGACTTAGTTGTAAATGTTGGTTTGTAATGTAAGTCCTAATACATAAGAAATAGATTAAAAACTCACTAAACAATATATAGCAATCAGTATTGGATCAAGGATTTAATTTGAGAGGTGGGGACTTCAGCCCGTGTATACAACCATAATTGCGTTAAATTCCAAATATGCAATGCCGAATGAGCGGCATAGATGTTTAGATCCAAGGACCACTAGCGGATCCAGGATTTAATTTTGGGGGGAGGGCTTAAGCCCGAAAGATTTTTTTTTTTTATTTCTATAATACGATAACTAATTTTTTGTATTATTTTTTTTTTGCACTTACATATATTTATCCGCATCTGTCAATTATAACTATTGACAATCAGCAGATGTGCCGGCACAGTAATGAGAAAATAAAATAAAAAAATAAATAAATAAAAAGGCTTGATAGGCATGAGGAAAAGCAATACCCAGCGGCATCCCTTCCATGGCTTTTACTTACTTACATACAATTACGTAAGTAGGTCCCTCATCCAGACCCTTTTCAGTCGTCTTCTGGAGTTCTCCGGCCTAGTAGTCGTGGCCATTTCTTTAATTAGCTGGTTGGAGTGTCCATGTAATTTATTATGAAATCGTTTGTAGTAAGTTCATATGTGTTCATTGATTGTTGGCATGTGTAAGTCAGTGTGTAAAGTGTTATTATTCAAATACCAGGGGATTTTTTTTTTTTTTTTTTAAATAAAGAAATTAGCTGCATATATGAAATAGTGTTTACGTGATTATTGAAGTCCTATTAAATGTAATTACACGAAAAACAATACTTTAAGAGATAGTTTTTAATATTTTTTTCTATAAAACATGTTTATATTTTACCATTTTGGAGGGGAGGGGGGACTTCAGCCCGAAAGCCCCTCCCCACCGGGGATCCGCCTGTGCCAAGGACTGTCTCAGAACAGTATTGGAATACCGATTAGGAAATACACGTTATATCCTCTGTACTGTTAGGTTAGGCTTGTTTGGGTTCCATACTTTAGAATTAAAACACAACAAATAGAATAATTTGAAAGGTTTAAAATCATAGTATAGTAAGTCAATTTTGTTTTTTGTTCGTAGGGTGAACGTTTTGTGAATGTAAATCAATGATATGTCTATGTTAAACAAGTGCCATTAAAGTACATTTACAAAATATTTGCTTCCTTAAAAAAAGAAAAGAAAAATTGAGTCAATCATCTAACCCCTCTTTTATATTTAATTGGAATAGTCAGGAAAAATAAAATAACTTACAAATCACATCTGTGGTGCATCTTGCCAATAACTCTTTCATGTCTAAATCCTTTCCATCACTTAATTCGGCAACGCATTCATCAAAAATATCAACACATTTTTCTATTTCTTCGTACATCCACTTCAACTTAACTTTGCTGAAAAGAGGAGACATCTTATTTCTTATGTATCTCCACTTGTTTCCTTTTAAAAAAAAGAGATGTTCGTCAAGAGGGTTCGTTTTCTCGTCCACTTGAAAAGCCCTGTCGTGAAAATGTTCGAAAGATGTCTTCAGGATGTCATTGATATATTCCGGATCTTTGATCATGAGTTTAGGAAGTATTGCTTGGTATAAGCCTACATATTTTTCATTTTCTAGTTTTTTATATATCCTGTCCCAACTTTCAGCTATTAAAAAAACAAAAAAACAAAACAAACAAACATAAATGAACAAAATATTCATAAAATATTATAATTTGGCATATTAGTAGTGTCTAAATTGATTTTCTTTCTGAATCGTTCGAGAATACGTAAGCACCCATACACATTCTTATTTTATATTATATTATTATATTAAAATCAACTGAAAATCGAAATAGGTCTGTAACTATAGCCTTTTTACATGTTTATATGTAAAAAATAGAGATTGACAGATACCGATATTAATATCATTCATATCGGTCTATTGGCCGATTATCGGTATCACGCCGATATGCTGATATATCTGTTTTTTAAACACGGATATCCTTAAACACTGATATACCGGCCTCGTAGATATTGTTAATACCTAGGATCAACATAAACATAAATTTAAGCAAAGACCGATATATCGGCCATATGACTATACTCTATTGAGATTGGTAAAGTTTACTCTTTAAAAATGTATTTATTTTTTTGCTAATCCTCTCCCGAAATTCTCAGCAGGAATGGATATCCTATATTCACCGATATAAAGGCCTTAAAACCTTACTTGATTGAGATTGGTAAAATCAGAACTTTTTATTTTACTAATCTTTTTTCTTTTAAACATCTTCCAAATTTTCTGGTCATCCCCTTGAATCGTTCTAACGGTCTCTCTAACTTTGAATATTATTTATATTGCTAATACACGGTGGGCCAGACCCCCCGTACCGTGAACGAACTTGCCCAAAATGGCGTCCAAACATGGCGGACTGACGATTTTGATTTTAGTTAGTTTTTTGATCATTGAGAATCAGCATTTGGCTCAATTTCGTCATAGTTGGTCTTTTATTAAAGCTGGATATTCATGCAGTAAGAAAGCATGAAAACATATTTTAAAATAATTGGCTTAGACAATAAAAAACAACAGTAAAGTCAGTTTTTTCAACAACAAAAAGTTGAAAATCAAGCGTCGTTTGTATGCGTCGTCAAACGGCCAATAATAACGCAAAATGTGCTCAAATAACACATCTGAGAAATATATTTCTCTTTCTAAAACACTTATTACTTTTTAAAATATTTGAAGCAGTTCCGTAGAAAATGCACTTAAGCGGCAGAAAAGCGGTACTGGCATAGGTTTCTACAGTTCTATACCACACCATTCAGACCAGCTTGTCTAAGCACAAAATAAGAATTATCATACTCCACCAATCTCGATCAAATTAAATCTGAAAGCTGATATAACGGTCTCAGCTCACATTTATGTCTGTATTGATTCCATGGCGATTAATTGGCCCATTTGTTATCAGTATAAATAATATTCAAATCAAAACTACATGGATCATGATAAAATAAGTTCAAAAGGCCGATAAATTGGTCTATGTTATGGACCCGAAATATTTAAAAGAAGACAAGCACGAAATAAAAATTATCAAACTCTACCAATCTTGATAAAATTAAATCTTAAGGCCGACATATCGATCTTCAGTCACATTTATGTTTATATCGATTCCAAGGCGATTAATTGGGCCATTTGTTATTAGAAAAAATAATATTCCAAATGAAACTTTATGAATCGTGATAAAATAAGATCAAAAGTATGATATATTGGTCCATTGGATGGAGCGAAAAAAATGTTAACAATAATAGTATAAAAATAATATTCGAAGTTTGAACCTTGTTAAAAAAAAGGTAGTAAGGCCGATATATCGGTCTTTAGAATATTGTTATTAAGTTCAAAATTTGGGGTTAGGAAAATAAAAAATATTATAGGTTTTTAAAATATTGGTGTTGGTTGAAATGTGTATTTAGATCTAGCCCTAGATGAATGATTGATACTTACATTCAGTAATTAAGAGAATTTTCTATGAGACGTTGTATGGAACCAGACTTAATGAAACAAAAGGCCGATATGCAGAAATATATACGGTTTATCTTTCTTTTAGAGCTCAAAATTTGCTTAATGTGCGATGGTCTATTTATTCTTTTATTTAGCAAAAAATACAATATTTCATGTGAATATATACAAATCTTGACGAAAAAGGGGAGAACAATGTATATCGGCCTTTTTAGTAGCCAAAATTTCGATATCGGTCGATATCTAGTAAAAATGCTGTAATTACAGACCTATTTACTTAAGTATTTTACTTATTGATAAATATATATGAATGGTTAACTTCACAGATATTGTAAATGCAAATTATATAGTTTGAAATAAAATACACACACACACGCAGGCATGCACCAATAATTTTCACACAAACCTCTATTTTACAAATTCCTAAATCCTCCTACATTCAGATCGCGGTACGTCCCGGCAATACGGTACCCTTTGTCGGTAAAACATAAAATGATAAAAACCAAAACAAAAAAACATAGAATATTATATTTAATTTCCTCAGAAAAACATTAATGCAACGATCAAATTGATGGATTTTTATTCAAAACTTTATTTCAAGACGTTCTCCTTTTTTCTCCTGAGCTCGTAATTGTGTTATCTAAAGTACACAAGAAAAATGAGGCCAATGATTTTAAGATTATAACTTTGACTTACTGACGTGTATCTTAAATAATAATCCATCCGGTTCGCTTCCAAGCAAAAATGTAGGTTTAACATATTTGATGTTCCTCTTCTCGAAGTATGAATATATGCTTTTGATTTTGTAATAAATGAAAATGCACAAAGTGGATATAGCTATCAATACGTCAATTTTCCAATCATTTGTAATAAGTCCCATGGTTAGAGCTGAAACAGTATAAAGTAACATAAATTTTGCACAAAGAAACAAATAGGACAAGTATAAGTAACAATAATTTGACTCTCCGAGTATTAGTAGTATTTATAATAATTGCAGGATAAACCTAATTAATTACGAGTATTTCTGTAAGCAATCTTGTTTGTTTTCTAATAATTCATACAACAAAATGGATTTTTATCTATTTTATATTTGTTTACCATTCTCAATGGCAATTGAGCTACACTTAGTAAATTCCTCTCTTTGTTGAAACTTCAAAGTAGATATTTACATCTGTCTATTAAAAATCTATATTTAAAAAAAGAATTTTCTAAGTTCCTTAAGACGAGAATAGATCTCATGGGATAAGGATATTGGTGGATGTGTTATCTTTTACTTAAATGTATAGAATTCTGATCTATAAATTTAAAATCTATTGTATATACTCTTGATTATTATTTTGTTGTATTTATTTTATTTTTTTGTACATATAGTGTGAATGTCATCCTACCTCACTATAACCAATGTCAAACAGACAGATTGTTATAATACTCAATAAAGAAATTTAAATTTAAAAATAAATTTAAAATAGATTTCTTTAAATTTAAAATACATATTTACAAATTTTAAATACAGTAGCAACAAATAAAAAACAAAAGCTTATCAGAAATTATCTTCAGTGACAGATCGGTTGATAGTATTTTAACATTCTGCAAGAAACTAATTGGAAAATAAAGATTAATTTCTCCATTCTCAAATTAATTGCCCACTCTATTATAAAAAAATCTATGCCCCTTTGAAGATGCTCTTGCAATAATTTCAGATGAAATTCTTATTTAAAAGGCAAACATATTTTAAAACTAAATAATAATGAATCCCCGGCATGAGCTTACGAAGAGCAAGACATGTGAGGGGGAGTGGACCGTTGCCTCTTTTTAAATAATTTAAAAGCAAATAAAAGATAATATAACCCAAAGGTTTGCCGAAACTTAAGGTATTTTAAAAAAAAAATATCTATTTATATATTGTTTCATTTATTTGTTTCGTATAAAAATATTTATAAATTATAATAATAATAAACTTGTCCGTAAAAAAGTCTGTATTGCCCCCTTATATGAACGCTACGTACTCTCTTGATTTCCGGTATGCTTCTGTTGGTTAAGGCTTAATTTAATTGTAAAAAAGTACTAAAACGTTATCTGAAATTACATTTAATAGTACATTTCTAATTTTTATTTGAAGTGGTTTATTCTTTAGCGCTTTTCACATTAATTTATTGTGTAAATTGTTTCCTTCATTTATAATAATGGTTTATATAGTTCAGCAGTTCAGCTTACAAGGCAATTACAAGTATTTAGCAATTTTGAATTCTCTTCTCAGCGAATATAATCATAGAAGACATAGCACAATAAAAATGAAGCCGATAGATGTTCATGGAAGGAAAATCGAAAAACGACTTTTGGTCGACAATTAAATCTTTGATACTCACTCGGACTTAAAAAAAAGTTTATTTGGCAAAAATGTTTACAATGTTTAGCATGAACAAAATATATATATTACAACACCTACACTAACTAAGGTATCTAACTATCTACTATGAGTGACAATATCTGACTACTTACTAGGCGAGTAAGGGAGGGTATTTATACAGAGTCAGGAGAAAAATGCTGACTCTAGGGATTTACCATTATTTGGCTACCTTGAGTGACGTGTATGGTAAAAAGAAATCTAGCATGAAAGCCACCAGATAGCACCACAAAGCTGTAGATCGAGTGAGAATCTCAACGTACAAGGCTCAGTTCGCAAAAGGTTATCTTGGACGTCGGAATTGTTTACGATAAAGGGGGTTAAACACACTGTACCAGTAACTTATCACTTGAATGATGACGGAGATGAAACAATCCCAGGAGGTTTCTATCAAGAAGAGCTTCAATTGGTCAAATATCCTTAGTACTATCTTGTCGAGAAGGTGACCAGAAGGAAAGGCAATAAGGTTTTGGTCAAATAGCTCGGTTTCGATAATTCACACAATAGCTGGGATAAGGTCGTCGATATCAATATTTAAGGAGCGGTTATCGCTATAATGACCATTGAGTCATGAGGCGCTGTGCTGACAACAAAAAGAAGAAAAAGAAGCAGCGATTTATCGTAACGCCAAAACGGATTGGAGGTGGTGAGACTAAATTGAGCAACGAAGCTAAATTGAGAATTGTGCCTAATACGAAATTATCATAAACGAAAAGAGTAATTTGAATCTACTACTGTTATCGAGAGTGCATAAAGTACGCACATTTAGTGGTGTATTTTTGAGAGACGAATTCCCTAACAAACCGTGGAAAAATGAATTTTCAATTTGGACAACAGTTACGAAAAAGGTACTCATTGGGTCTGCTATAAGAAAATTGGACATTTGGTTTACTATTTTGACATTAGTAGAGCTGAACTTCCATCTGAGTTTGCACGTTATATGAAAAATAATAGAATCTCTACGGACGATAATTGATCATTGTGATTTGACATACGTCAAACTCTATCTGAATTGTAAATCATATCCGTATGATGATATGAACTTGGATTTTTTTGCTAATCCACGTGCTTTGCTCTTTCACATGTGTAGCGTTTCAACATTCTCAACAAGGTTGTTTTTGCGCAAAATTTAACTTACAAAAAGTTCCCTGTAGCATAACCATCTTCGACACCTAGACCGAGGCCTAAACTATATTCATCTGGATCGTCAAATTCTTCGAGGTCTTAGTCAGGATCGCTGTAATTCAAATATATTTGTGGGTGTAGGTGAAACTGTTCTTCATCATCATGTTCGATATGTTTTTGTTTTTTAGAAACCTTTTTTTTTTTTTGTGGCCTTAGGGGGCTTGTGTTCTTTCTCTTGTTTTATTTTAAATTCTGCTCCTATTTAATTGTTTACTGATGTGTCAGTTAAAATGTGGGTTTCTCCTGGTTTCGGACATTGTGGTTTATCTTTCCGAGGCATAGCTTTTGGAAAGGATCGAACAATTTCAGGACTGACCATGAGGCCTACTTTTTTATCAGCGTTTTGGGAGCATTCATAGGGTCGTTTAGTTGTTGTGACGTTGGCCTATTAATTATGTTTTAGTTGCGTTATTATGAACAATGGAATATTTACAGACATATTTAATGTTTTAGTATCTTTTTAAAAACTAGAGATACTGTATTTTGTTGGTAACACATTTATAAAAATCTGTTGCGCGCAACACACTTTCACTACCGCTCACTTACACTTTATTATTATTTAATAATAATAATAATAAGAATTTATTTTCATGCGAAGCTGGATTATTATAAAATTTTTGAAGAACATTTTAAACAGAGCTAAACCTTAAAGCTTGCATATAACAAATCATTAAGATCATTAAAGTTCTGCTTTTATCTGCTTTTATAAATCAGACAACTTCAGTCTCTGACCCTTTCACATGACGGAATGACTTACTCCAATTTCAACATTTTTTAGTTTTGTCATTTTAATGATATTTCCAGTTGAAAAAGTAATATCTATACAGACATTGAGTAAGTTGATTACAGAGTACGTGGTTGCAGTGATAAAATATAGAACTGTGAATAAAGGTATAAATTTTGCCACTAGAAACACCACTAAAATTAATAATAAAGAATGTTGAAATTGGGTTTAGTCATTCTGTCAACCGAAAGGCTCATATATGTCTAGACAGGTAGAAAGTAGATCATTAAACATAGAGAGTATACTCGAATATTTAACTTATTAATGATTATGGATTGTAGGACTAATAGTTATTACACTGTTGTTTTTCATTGTAAAGTTTACTAAAACGAAATTATGAGATTTTCATTGCCTGTCATGGATAGGTAAAAAGTTGTCCCACCAATTGTAAGGGGGTAATGTTGGGATTTAACAAAGAGAAAATTCATCAGATTATTCGTTAATTTAATTTTCTAAAAGGTTACTTGATAATTTTTTGGAATAAACGGCCGATAGATACCAATATGTTTAAATATAATATCTTATCTAGAGTTATTTAACTAACAGTAAATGTATTTGAGGTTATAAACATATCCATGAAATATTTTTAGATTCCACAATGAAATTGTATTTTAAACAATGGCATTGCCTTGTTTAGGTGGACTTTAATTAAATATATTTTTTTCAAACTTAAAAAACATTTAAAAGTTTACAAGTAGTAAGAAAATTTCATTTCATTTCCGTGGAAACGTGTGATTTACGTTAAATAATGTTAGTTTTCTGAAAAATCCTAAAATCCCATAATATTTCCCATCCCCTCCGTCGAGGTGATGGCTCCTGGGCGGCGTGTGATGGAGACAAAGCTGATGAATTCGCCAAACACCTTTCCAGTACATTTACTCCTCATCCCGAATCCAATCCTACCCATACTACAATAGTAGAAGAATTTCTTTCTTCACCAATTCCACTCTCTTTACCACCAAAAGCAGTTCATTCATCTGAGGTCAAATATCATTTACAAAAACTATCTTCCCGCAAATCTCCTGGATACGACCTTCTAACCCCACAGATCCTTCATCAACTACCACCCAAAGCAATCATATTCCTCACATACATATACAACTGCATCCAAAGAACTACCCATTTTCCTCTCTTATGGAAACATTCCACCATCGTCCTTTTCTTGAAACCTGGCAAACCTTCCAATAATACATCATCATATAGACCAATTAGCCTACTCCCAATCCTTTCCAAAATTTTTGAAAAAATCCTACTAAAAGAATCCTACCCATAATATAATCCCAAAACCTTCCAACCCACCAATTCGGATTTCGCTTCCAACATTCCACTGTCCAACAAGGACTCCGACTTGTTGACCACATATCCTCAGCCATAGAAAGCAAAGAGTATTGTTCGGGGGCATTCCTGGACATTGCGTAAGCTTTTGATCGGGTATGGCACGCCGGACTGCTCTTCAAGCTCAAATCCCATCTACCCCATTTCTTATATCTTATCCTCCGATCCTACC